CCAGGTACCAAACTTCCTCCTGAATGACCCAGGAGTCCTATCTTTTGCTCCTTAAAAATAAAAGACCCAGAAGAGGAGGAAGAAACTGCTTTTTAAAAAAGGCTTTCAAGCTATAAATGCAGGCTGAGTGTTTTGACTTGCTCCGTATCATGTGCCACGGTAAGTTTAGACATCTTAAGATCTGAGTCAGTAAACGAAAATGTGCCTGGCTCATGTGCGTCTGTTGGATAAATCCTCAGGAGAATTGTGAAAGAAAGTACCTGATCACTTGTTCTTTCTTCAGTTCTCTTGTACTTTCCCCACTCCACCCCTAACAAGCATCCAATGCCTAATTGCTGTTCTTTTTTTTTTTTTTCTGAGACAGAGTCTCACTCTGTTGCCTGGGCTAGAGTGCCGTGGCATCAGCCTAGCTCACAGCAACCTCAAACTCCTGGGCTCGAGCGATCCTCCTGCCTCAGCCTCCCTAGTAGCTGGGACTACAGGCACGCGCCTCCATGCCTGTAATTTTTTCTATATATTTTTAGTTGGCCATTAATTTCTTTCTATTTTGTTGTAGAGACGGGTCTCACTCTTGCTCAAGCTGGTTTTGAACTCCTGCACTTGAGTGATCCACCCGCCTCAGCCTCCAAGACTGCTAGGATTACAGGCATGAGCCACGGCCGCCCGGCCGTATTTGCTGTTCTTTAAAGGCTCAAAAGCCCACCATACAATCAGATCTACCCAGATCTTCCCCCTCTTAAAACACCTACTTTCAAAACTACAATATTCCTCTTTTCTCCGCCCTACACAAACCCCATATTAAATGAATCTTTAGTGAAGCAGGTAAGAAAGAATATTTGCAACTAAATGTCAAACTGACTAACAGTGGGGTGTTTGGCAAGCCATCTCTTACAAAGGGTAGTTCGCGTTTTAAACAGTGCTTATGGTTCAAATAATTAAATTTCTATTATTTGCGCAAATAAGCGACACTTATTCCTTCCCACCAGGCTATGTATGATAGCTGTAGAAATAGCAACGATTTAGACAAATGGTATAGACACGTCGTCAAACAGCGTGTGTGAGTTGAGGGAAGCTTTTTAGTAGTTGGTGAAGGGAAGAGAGGAAAGTGATTGAACATGGAAGGTTTAGTTCCTTGCAGCTTCAATCTCTTCCTATTTTTATGCTGATTGGCGTCTCTTTTTCCTTCCCTGTCACAGACTGTTTCAGTACTTCTTGCTTTATTATTTATTTGTGGCGCGAGCAGAGCGGAGCGCTGAGTCTTATGTGTCACTTGAAAATGTTCCTTTGCACTTGCTTCTGAACTTTCTAGCCAATGCAGTGGAGGTAAATAGGGGTACTGTGCTCGTATGCAATGTGGGATATTTGTCGTGTAGCAAAGAGGAGAGGCATGTTGCCAAAAAGCTTTGAACAAAAACAAACTTTTTAGACGGAATATTTTTATAGTCCATGAAAATAAGCTAAAAGTTTTCAGACAAAAGAGTACAGAGGAATACTTATTATAAAATAAATTGGAAAAAAAAAACCACACACAAAAAAACATGGACTAGATACTCAACAGTGAGTCTCACCTGCAAGCATCTCATGAATTTCACATGGCACCCACTTTCTCTGTACCCTGAAGATCCATGTCCCAGCCCATACATACTCTGTTGTTCAAGCGCACTGGATTTCCTTCAACGTAGCCATGGCCTCGCTGCAATGTTAGAATATTGTTACTGCTTGCTCGTTTGTGGTTTCTATAACGAAGGGTAATTGTGTTTCCCTCACCCTCCTCACTTAATCTTCATTGCCACGCCGCTACCTCTCTGCAGATGCAGGGTTTGTTTTTTCTTGATAGTTTTCCTGCCATTCTTTTCTCAGTCTCTGTGTATGATTTTAGTATTCGAAGGCAATTGGGATAATTTAGGTTGTAGAGGAGAAAGACTCCCCAAAGAGACATGGACTTGTCTTAAATATTTGAAAGGGCTTGACAAAGATAGAATATAGAATGGATTTATTCTGTGTTACTGTGAGTACCAGAACCCAGCCAGTGAGGGTAGGCTCCGTTTTGATTGTTTGTGGGGTATCACTCACCTTGCAAATGGACGTGGTTCAGCCAAGTTGAAAACAAACGACTTCTCTAGAGTGAATGCCATATCTTACTAACATTTTAAAAGTTAATTTTGTCCTGTCCCAGATATATTACAATAGATTAGGTTAAAATTTTGGATGAAGAAGGGATTAAGATAATTTCTAGAACATATATTGGGTATTGTCATATAGCTGCACTGCATATCTGTGGGGACATCCCAACAGTTCCTTTGTCACTTGTTGCTTGTGTGTGACAGAAAAGAATCTGGAGAGAAATGAAGTCAGGACACTTAGCCTGTGGTCCTCCAGTACCACCAACATCTGACCAAGGGCGAAAGAAAGACTTATGTCAAGAGTTTTTGTTCAGTCATCAGATATTTAAGTGCTTAGTATATGGTAGGCCCCTGTACTCTAACATTCAATTTTTGTATACCATACCAAAATATAGCATATATTACGAATATGACATAATCTAGTGTAATAAAATATTCCGAAATAAAATAAGAGATATTGAGGAGCTGCCTGTATGTGAAAGAGCCAAGTTCTCCCAGATTTGTCACTCTCCTGCTTAAACCTGCAGTGGCTCCCAGTACCTTCAAATTTGGTTCACACTCCTAAGCTTGACATTCAAAATGCCTCCTCATCTATCACCTGTCTGCTTCTTTGCCCTTAGCTCTTGACACTGCTCTCATCTCCTGAGATGCCTATGTTATACCCAAACCTCATTATTTGCAGTT